AAACTCAAAAAAGGAAAAACAATATTGTACAATACATTTTATGGAGCTGCTAATATTGTACATTATCTGAGACAGGAAAGCCTACTGCGGACGTGGGAGCAGCTAATGTCAAAATGTTTACTTTGTATTATAAAATAAGTGATTATGACGCTAAATTTTTTGTTTTGTTTTGTTTTTTTCTTAAAAAAACAAATTAGTAAAAAATTAGGATTAATATCAACAATGAAATTCAATGGTTCTAGGTCATTTATATCAGCTCTGTTAACATTTTGTCAAATCAAGTGAATAATATTTGAATTGTGTGTAATGTTGCAGTTCTATTGTGTAAAACAATGGGATTTTAACCATTGCCTGAAAATTTTCTGAAAAAAACTTCAAGCTCTGATCAGACTGAAACTAAAAAAGAACAAAACTAATTCTTTAGGATAAAACTCTATTCATTCCCCTCTACACAACAAAGACTAAATGACAGCCAGACTGAGTAGTGACCTTCCATGGATAACCTTTAACTGCAGCTCTCTTCCTTATCTCCGAATGCATAAATCATGTCTGTATTGCAGATTCAAACTATTACTTTAAATAGAAAAAAAAATGTATCAAAAGGTTTTAAGTGATGTTTGCTGCCTTAAGCTTTGAAAAGGTCATAAACAATTGCAAATTCTGCTGCGGTTGTGGGTGTTTGAAACTTGACAGTTCCATTAGGATTAATTTAGGAATGCAAATTATTGTTTATGTTTGTTATGATAGGGAGTTTTAAGTCGGAATGTGTTCAAGGTTTCTGTTTGAAAACAGTAAATGAGACAAGTAAGGGGCTGAGGGAGGTAAGAAGCAGTGGATATTATTATATTTCAGAGGCAGCCAAACAAATACTGCAGGCAGGCGCACAGCTGGGCTGGCATATACAAGATATGCAAAGCAGGAAGGGGGTGCAAAACGGAAAACAAAAAAACAAGTGTTGTGCATGTTGTGCATATTTGAAATCAAATCACCAAATTCACTAAAGTTAAATCCGTTCCTGCAAATAAGCCCCACATGCAGTCATCAATACTCAAAGCTCTTACCAAAAACTAAATACAAGCTGCAAAGTATAATTAACATGAAAAACTCATGAAACTACTTTTTTTGGGGGGGAATAAAAATAAAAAAAAAAACAGCAAAAAGCTGATAGATCTGCATATTCATTTCACTTTCAAAGCAGGGAAAATGAGAAAAACAATTCCAAAAAAAGCATTTATAAACTTTTCCACATTTTGTCTCTAAAATCACAAACCATAATGCAAGGTTTAGCCTTATACTGAGTATATTTGATGCATTAATGCTACCTACACTGCTCGATTGAGCAATTTCATCTAAATTTCCATGTCAGTCACTACTCCTCCACATCTACTTTGCTGAAAGTTTGTTTTCTTGTCGGATTTCTGCTCTACTCATTCCAGTTGCTTTCATCCAAGAGGTAAATGGCATATTGTTTGCAGGGTTCCTACAGAATAAGGCAAGTTAAATTCAAGACTTTTTAAGACTTTTTAATGCCACTTGAAATAAAAGTTTAAGACCAAATTCACAAGAAACACAAGAAAAACGCGACAACTTAACCCAAAGGTTTATTTTAACATAAACCACTGCACTAATGTTTCAAATTCAGAAAAGCTTCCCATACAGGAAGAAAGCTAAAAACACACAAATGACAGATATATTTTAACAATTATTTAACTGAATTCACAAACTTTGTTTTATCAGGGAACAAAACAAATCAGTTTTAAAGCCACAACATAACCAGTGCTAAGTCTTTTTTGCAGCTATTTTTCTTTGTATCGTTTTCTTAGTATGTTTGATTTGGTGATAAGTGGAGGCGTTGCAGAGACAAGGGTGGAACAAAACTGAGAAATACCGGCTGTTTCTCGGTAACTCTATTTTGGTGCTTTGTGTTTCGTGCTTCGCATGTGCGACTCCACTGCTTTAATTCCCATAGTTCCGAGCTTGAATGACTTCTTGCACAAAATCCACTGAGCCTCATGTATGTTCCCTGGTTTTAGCCATGGAGAAAACTCTTGGCTAGATAGACAATTTTCGTTACATTTACACTTGCTCATATTTTCCAGACAAAAAGTAAATGGTGCATCTCCCAAATGTCCCGGCTGCAACAACGCTTTTATTGGTTCCGCTATCGGGACAGAACCAATAATGGCGAGCTGTTTCTTTTTTTTTTTATTAAAAAAAAAAAAAAATTGTCAATTTTAACGTTTCATTTAGATTACACAAATAAATCGTAATAAAAATAATCCTATTTATGATGTTTTAAAAATTAAGACCCACGAAAGACTAATTTAAGACATTTTAATACCAATTAAGGCCTTAGTTTTATTTTGAAGAATTCAATGCCTTTTAAGACTCTTTAAGGACCCGCGGGAAACCATGGTTTGGAGGTGAGTGGCGACACGGTTAATATCGCAGAAGGTTTTAAAAATAAGGTAGCAAGACTTCCTGATTGTTTCAAAAATACCATTTAAGTTATAGATATATAAAACAGAAAATATAAGTGTTGGCTGGTGAGGGCCTTCAAAGCCTTCACTAGCTACGTTTACATGCGCAAAATTTCCCCGATCCGATCCAAACCTTGGTTGATCGGAAATTCAAAATCTCCGGTTACATGGACACTAAATGAAATGATCCGATCATGACGTGTGTATACATGTACCAAGCGTTGGATCAGATTAAATCTTTTAAGCATGCGCAGAACTTTCTGCCAAACTTGGCAGTTCTGTCTGCGTCTGGTTTTTGGGAGGCCTGACAAACGATGCGCTCGGAGCGAGCGGAAAGAAAAAACGGAGAGAGGAGGAAAAAAGCGCTTGGAAGCGAAATGTCCGAGAGAAAATGTAGAGAATGAGTGATTGAACCGGCGTGGGAGAGCGAGTGGGCTGTGGAGAGAGAAAAGAGGAAGAGGAGGAGGATAAATTCCTGCTTCCTGCAGCTTTAAATGAACTTGAGTGTATAAGTCGGCGTTCCTAGACTCCTCCCGCCATGTTGTTCACAACAAGAGCGAGAGCGACCGGTGGTTTCCTGTTGTTGACAAGGCGGAAAAACGTCACGCTGACGTCGCACACATGCGCAGTGAAGATTATTTTACTCTTCAGATCCGAATGGGTGTTTACATGGACGCCAATCGGAATGGCGATCGGCAAAAACCACCTCTCTCTTTCAGAATTAAATTTATTTCCGAACGGACCGAATCGGATTAGAATCTTCAGTCTGACATGTTTACATGAAACATTTTTGATCTGATCAGGCCTTCAATCCGATTATTTGTGTCCATGTAAACGTAGCTAGTGCTGGCTTAAAATCAGTCGGGAACACTAACCTACATTCACAACCTAAACTTTAATTTAATTAAATTAAAATTCTTTTTTTTTTTACTGTATTAATTTTATTCCAAATAATATAAATATTCATAATATTGTAGCGTTTCTCTTGGCTGCACTGACAGGAGAAATGGTTTTATGTTTTTGCAAAATTTTTGTCCAATCAGATTTCAGCCTCTGGGGGTTTCTATGTCAATCAAATCTGCCCAGAGCTTTCAGAATCAGAGTAGTATCCTGATCTCACCTTAACAACATTCATGAGCAAGGTTTCCTTCAACCCGTCAGATTTTAAGATTTGCCCCGCAGGGCCAGCTAGAGGGCCCACACCTACGTCTTCATTTTCTGTCCTGTGATTGGTCAGTTAGATCAAATCTAGCAGTTTATAGCATTCTATTGTGTATTCTTAGTTATTTAAAATGTTTATAATGATTGGCAAAAATCTAAGAATATATGAAAAGGAAGCTTCCTATTTAGGATATATGAAGAGATCTTTGCCTCTTGAATTATTTATGAACTGGTTTTACTTTCAGAGGGAACAGATCTATTAGGGTTACATGATGGCAATCCTTCCTCCTCAAATCCTCTTAAAAACAGCCACCCACTTATCATAAGGAGTTCTTTGTCGGTCACACACTGCTCCAGCCAGAGCCTAACAGGGAAAGGTCACAAGCCCCCAAGTGACAGATGTCAATCAGACGAGGTGAGAATCATCCAATCCTTCAGGAGCGCTCTCAAGGCTGGGTAAGAATAAAAACAGCGGTCCTCCTCTGACTTTCCCCCGAATGAAACACATGTATCCTTATATCGATTCAATTAAAGAGATTCTATAGGATTAAAAAAATAATAAAGTACTTAATATTATAAGGTGGATTGCATTTTTTTTCTCATTTCATAAAAAAAAAGAAAACTTTCCTGACATTACCTAATAATTTCCCAATTTACAAAACTTGCCTGAAGCGGCCCTTCAGCATCTGTTGCAAAAAGTTTCACAACATTACATTCATCTCTCCTGTGGTTTCCGAATAGATTAGATCATTTCGGTCCAAATGTAAAATAGAGATTTGAAGCTACTGAGCCGACAAAGTGTGTAACAAGCTCTTAGAGCCTTTCCACTGCTGCAGTAGATGAAAACATTGGTAATTTCCTGTTGGAATAGGAAAGTAACTTTATTCCGTCCCAACTTCATAAACTGAAGATTCATTATTTCACCGGCATGCCAAAGCTATATGCTACTTCTGTGCTGAAGTTTAAGACGCGTCTGTGTGAGAGTCCGGGGAGGATTACCTATGATCCCAGCAAAATGAGAAAAAAAGTGAGACAACTCCTGATAATATATTCTAACACATGGAGAATCACTGCAAGGATTCTGATGTTCTTTTACTTTGTTGCTGGATTTTATCAGCTTGCTCTGTGCTCTGTGAATGCCCTGTAGAATAAAGCATGTGATAAAACTCTGTGTGAAATTCAGTGTTGCTCTGTGAACCATGTGTCATCTTTGCCAAGTAAAAGTGAACAAATTCACTCACACCACTGCCTATACATAATAGATGAGATGTAAATCAAGTAGACTAATGCAAATCACTAAGCACAGAGAAGCAGGCTAGTTAGCTTTATCCAATCCAAAAATCTAATTGAACCCCCTACCTGTCTGGAGCTGCAGGTCGTCCGTTGCGTTGCTTGTTGACCTGGGCGTACAGCACCTCCAGGGGTGGACCATTGCTCTGGAGGTTCAGGGGTGTGTGAGGGCTCTGTGGGCTCTGAGGGAGATGGTAGTGGTGGCTGTATGCGTCCACGCTGCTGCTATCTAGAGAAGAGCCCAACGACCCAATACCAGCGTAAGTGTGCTCCTCGTCTGAGCTGAAAGTGCGGCTGACGACATCTTGGATCTCTGCATATTCCCTCTCCTTGGCCTGCTGCTCCCGATGTTCCCATGTCTTGGCATGAATCCTAAAAAGATTGTGTTTAAGAGAAAATTTAGATATAAAAGAGTCCAAAATTTCAATGTTTGAATATGTGGCCTTTAGAATAAAAAATTAGCAGGATCTCATGTTTCATTTGAAGAAACTAAGCTTCTAACTGCAGTTCTAAGTGGCTCTATTATTCAACTATAAGGCTTTCAATGGAATATGACACGAAACAGGACTGAGTGTGCTGGAGGATTCTAACTGCTGCAAACCTTTTTAGATTCCACAAACTTTAGTCCATTGTAGTGGAATTTTATGTGACAGACCAGCAGGAAGTGTTGCATAATTCTAAAATACACCATTTTGATGTTTTAAACCAAAAATATGGAATGCATTTGAATTTAATCTATTAAATTCAATAACCCTTACTAAAATTTAACACAAGTGACTTGCTTTTTAAATCGATGAGGTCACACCGCTGGCCTCCAACTCTACAAACCATTTTTATTTTTTGTCATATTGCATAGACACTCTCAGCAAAGGGTGACTAGATGCCCTATTTTATGCGGTAATGTGCCAAGGTTTTCACTTCCTTTCCACTGTCCAACAAAGTTGTCAGGATCCCAGTTTTTGTGTTCGTCTGTTTGTCTTGTCTTTTGTGTTTCTCCCTTCCACCACCAGGAGGCGCCTGGCTCCGTTTCGCCTCCTCACACACCTGCAAGCTGTTGCCTCATCAGCGGACTGCTCTTAAGCTGCTGGTTGCCACTACTTCGACGCCAGAATGTTTGCCCGTTTGTGGTACTCTAGCCAAGCCTTGTTTATGCTGAGTCTAATCTAAGTTTTTGCATTTTGAGTTTTTTGTCCTCTAGCCAAGCTGAGATCACATTGAGTTTAACTGAGCGCTTGTTTCTCCCCGAGTCTCAACTTTGTTTTTTCTTTGCCTTTCGGCAGGAAGCCTTCTAAACAGGAGGTTTGGATCCAGCCACCTTTGAGCACACTGAGATCTCTCTGAGTTAAGAAGTCATCTTTACCATGACCCGTTCAAGTACCACAGGAAAACTAAGTTGCAACCAGCAGCTACATCATTCCACTCCGTCCGAGTTCTGGGTAAACCCTGTTCCGCCCTCCACCGAATCAAACTTTCTCTGGAGGACCAACACACAGACTGAAGTCTAAGTGTGTCTTCTTCTCTGGAAACGTGAGTGGCAACTAATCCTCTCCTTCAAGATTGACAACTCCAATTTCCCACTGAGCCTGAACCTAACAGTCTGTCTTCCCTCTGCACCAAATTCAATATACACTTCAATAAAACCCGTTGAACTTTTATATTGTGTCTCTCTGTTTGGCTTCATTGCATATGGGTCCGAGCCTTAGAAATAACCATGACAAAAGTGGAAGAAAATCTTGCATTTGACTCAAGCAAATTATAAAAAGTAAAATATAAAATATTCAGGAGATGCTTTTCTTAAATGTAAGGAAAGCAGAGCTGCAGGCGTTATTAAAGAGCTATGCTAGTTGTTAATCAAATATTCTGCCCCACATCATGACCAAACTGTGCTTCTAAAATAAAACAAAACAGATGAGGGATTTTAAAATATAGAAAATATAATGGAAACTATGTTTAAAGGAAAGAAAACACAGTCATAGCAAAGCCTGGGTGAGGTCAGAGAGCTTTTGATGAAGTTTGCAGAGGTTATTTTGCAATTTCATGTGTAGGGGAGAGCAATACGTTGAGCTTATAATGCTTTGTGCCTCATAAGCATCCTTGTTGTTCCACATTTGTTCTTTTGAAGCCTATTGATTGCTATTTTACTTTATCTGTTTCCTGTCTCCTTAGCTCTTACCATGGGTAAAGTACACTGTTTATTGAAAGGTTTTATTGATGTGCATATCTCAGTCTGGCCCATTTGCTCCATAGACATGTCTGTTTTCAAATGGATCATGAAGACCAATTCCTCTATAAATGCAGTGCTATAATAGGCTGTTATAGTAAAGCTTTTTTTTTATGTCTCAACAACTCTTATTTTGGCAAAACTTTTGGATTCAGTCTGACAAAGTCTGCACTACTTAGTGAAGGAGAATGGGGTAAAAATGCCAGGCTCTAGATAGATATGCATTCTCTTACATGTAAGCAGAGAATGGCACCATGGTGATCTATTAGCATTGCAAATAAGAGAATGTGGGAAGGAAATCTCCCTTTCTTCTCTCATATCCATTTAATGTTGTTACTACCCTGGGAACACTGCCATACAACACAGCCTTTCACAGACCTTTCCTGTCTCACAGAATGGTTCCATGTGAATGCCCATCTGTCTGCAGCTAACAAGACTAACGCCGCATGTGTGCAAGGGGATTTGGCACCGCAGGAGAAGACAAGGGGACAGTGGGGAGAGAGAGCAGGACTGAGGACAGCCAAAGAGGGCAGCTGAACTTCCACTTTGGTGACCCAGGCATCAACCACCTACCCGTTCACTGGTTCCAGATGTTGGATGTGCTACAAGGGAATGCACTCATGCACACAGAGATACAAGCAGGCACAGCCTCCTACTGCTGCTAAACTTCCCTGTTACCTCAGGTCATAGCTGACCTCTGACCCCCCACTGCTGCTCTTCGGAGATGATTGGCAGGTTGGGAACACAGCACGGATCCCCTGCAGAATTGCCTCTCCCAGGTCTGTGTGTTTTAATAACAGTAATCACATTTCAAACAATCACCATTTTTCAGTGCCAGATTAACCCAATTCCCACATCCTGTCCATAGGCTGCCTTGTTTGTTCCTGGCCGTTCAAAATCCCATTTTCTTGGTATTATCTGGAGAATGAGATTTGAAAGGCTGATGCAATGTTCCAGGATGTGCTGTCATGTTTAACAGCAAGCTAATCCGTTGTTTTTTTGAATATTTGAGAAGCTGGTTCACTACAAAAAAATTATCAATTTAGTCTGTTTTAAGATGAGTGCTTAAAAAAAAATTGCACAAGCTCTTCTTCCAGCACAATGATGTCAGATATCAGTTGGAAATGATCTGGAAACGGTGTTACTGCAGGTTCACGTCCTTCCCGTGGGATTTCAAGACCCTCCGGTGCTTTATGGACTAATCAAATCCATAAAAAACAATCTTATTGATATTTGAGTTGAGGTAATGGCTTTGGCTAGACAAGCAACATCAGGCTAAACAAAAAAAAAATCCTTCCAGACTGAGTAAGTCTCACTGAAAATAAAAAAGGAAAGAAAAGGATAAATAAGCACATTTCCATTAAAAGACTAATCTTTATCAAAACAAGTAAAATTGCAGGTCATGTGGTGCCATTTTCATTGATATGAATGGATCCAGTTGGTGTTACAACTTTTAAACGATGCATATTTTTCTGTGCAAAAAACAGCAACATTTTTTTCTCTGATGTAAAGTATGAAAGAGCAACAAAAGATGGCAAAGTAACAAAACAACTTCCTAAGGAAGAATGCTTATCCCAAGTTTATTTCTAAATGTCATACTACAAAAACTGACTTTGTAAAGATTAAATGCTTTTTAGATCTCTATTATTCTGTTTTCTTATCTTGTTATATATGCAAAAAAAAAAAATAATGATACACCGATTTAAATGTGGGGAAAAGAAAGGGAAGTGTCTATAAACATCCTATGCTGTCATGTCTTTGAAGTGTTGTTTGTGCATTAGGTTGGATTTGGTGATGTTCTGAATATTTCATGTGTATTGGGATCAAACATGTGGAATACATGCAGAATTATTTGTCGCATCAGAACTGAGTATGATACTTTACCAAAATATCAACATCTGCTTTGACATATTCTCATAGTAAGGAGTCAACTGACCGCCTGGGACTGAAACTAATGCTCTCTGAATGCTCCAAAGTAATCAGATAATTACTAGTCAAATTAATCAGACGGTAGGTCAACCATCACTTTCACCACAGGTTCTTGCATTTGCAAGACTGAGGAGAGTTCATTAGTGTGAACACAGGTGGTTTAAGGATACAGTAATAATAGTGAGTACTGAATGGCAGTGGTGCTGAAGCATTGTAAATAGGTTTACATTGGGAACCTTTATTATGGATGTTTTTGCTGTCAACCCTTTAATTTTCTTTTCAATTTTCTTTTTTTTTTATATTTTTATTTATGTAATAGGTAACATCTTTGCTGATACCGAAATTATTATTATTATTTTTTTTTTTATTATTATTATTTGTTTATTTGACAAGGACAGTACAATTAAACATTGCAACCAAACAGGTGGCCGATGTCCAAGTACATAAGGCTTGTAGCCATGGGCTAATTTGCAGCCTTCGTCCATCGTTAGGCTTTTAAAAGGTGTTAGCATTAAGGGGGAGGGAGGTTAGTAACGACACACAAATACATAAAAACACACAAAAAAACAAAACAAGAGAAGTTAAAACAAAAATGTACAGTACAAGCCAGTTTAGTGCTCACACTCTTGATTGTTTTTTGAGCCACTTTTTCAGTCTTGTGGAGAAAAGTCGAATATCAGTCTGTGACTTAAGCTCCAGAGGCAAAGAGTTCCAGAGATGTGATGCTTTCACTGAGAAGGCGGACTGACCCATAGATGTCCGACATCTTTTAATCCTGCAGTTCCCACTAGCTCCAGCTCTTGTCCTGATTCCTTCATTTGCATACTTTAAAACAAATTTACAGATTACCTCAGGCGCAAGACCATTAAGGCATTTAAAAATAGCTTTTGAAAATGAGAAATTTATAAAATTTTCAAATGTCATCATATTGTATTTTTTTTATAATTTTGCAGTGATGCCACTTCACCGGTTTTTGATCGAATATTTTTAATGCTTGCTTGTGAAGTGAGAGTAAAGGTTTTGAAACAGACTTTGTGGCCTGGGCCCAAACGATGGAGCAATAAGACATATGGGATAAAATCATTGCATGTAAATATACTTGTGCAGCTTGATTTGATACATATGGTCGAATCATTCGAAAACAGTTTATATTTGTCTTTATAGTAGTGCTGTCAAAATTATTGCGTTATTATCGCGTTAACGCGAGGCCATTTTAACGCCG